AGTATCGCTGAGTATTTTTACTCGTTATTTGTATTTTGACTCGCCCTACGGGCTCGTCAAAATACGGCACAACTCGTAAAAATACTCAGCGATACTACACAACCAAATGTCTAATAAGTTATTTATTATCCAACACGCCAAACTGTTATTTCAGTGCGGGCGAATTTCGCGGATTTTATTTGCGGGGAGTGCGTGACAGAAGTATGCGAAGCGGAACGGAATTGGCGCGTTGTTGTGTCGCTGTTTCTATTTTCTTCATTAATGAAGAAATTTTCTGGTCGTCAAGCTGTTTTTCTTCGTTCGATTCATCTAATGAACTTGGACCTATATTTTCCAGCCATTTTGACTCTTCGTCGACGGAAATATGATTCAAATTGTCCGCCACTTGCTTTTTTTTTTTCGTAACTACAATTCAATTCTTCGCTTGCGCGATGCGAGAAAACCTGTTTAACCGGTACTACAATAGACGAGTACAAATAACGCATGATATTTGTACTCGTCTATGGCGTTATTTGTACTCGTCTAGGTGTAGTTGGATAATAATGTGTTTTATTTCCGTAGAATAAGCCGAGGTTTGATATTTCACTGGTTATACAGCGTGATAAAAAACAAAACAAATGGTCCCACAACGTACCATTGCAGAGGACGCCGTCCCCAGAATATCCTGTGTGACATGCGCAGTAAAATGAGCCTTTTGTATTAGTGCAGTTGCTGTCCATGTGACAGTTATCTTTGTTTATTGCACACTCTTCAATATCTGCAATACAAGCGTGTAAGTGCTTGGGTTCCAAATTCTTCCTTTTTAACATTCACTATTCAGTGCAATGATATTCAAGAGCCCTCATTAAAAAATCTTTAGATAAAGTGCAAGGAGACCAAAGAAAAAAATTGAGACGGCAAGGACGATGTGATAATAACGAATTGAGAAAAAAATTAAAATGGATCAGGAGTTTCTGAGCCGAGGATGACAAGCGGAATACAATAGCAATATCAAATTGGATAAAAAATGAGATGAATTTAAGAAAAACTTTTTTTTGATGTTAGTCAAACGTCAGTCGAGCAGTTATATTTGCCCATTTAAACAGGCATGTCACCTACTAAAAAGTTTCTCCGTAAATGTTTTACTTGGTAAGCAACTTCTCGAAGTCGGAGACATGAATATGGGGCAGCACTGATTAAAACTGGGTTTGTTAGGCTGCTGCCGTTTATGCTTCTTAAATCCATCTATTTTATCTCATTTGCTTGTTTACTTTCCGCTATCATTTCCATCCTTGTTTACCATCCATGTTGCACTATAATGAGACTAAACTCGTCCCGGTGAGGTTTTATTAACAACGAGCAGATCAAAAGAAACACTCTTTTCAAACGCTATTTCAGATTTGTCTTCAAAGGCGTATTTCTCTTACGCCTGGAAAGTCTCCCAGTCTCGACATCCTAAACGACACCCTTCGATGGGTAAACAAAACATGCCTCTGGTTGGCTTCTCCTCGAGCTTTTTAACTTTTGTGCCAATACTCAATATTCCTTCTCTAGTGGAAAACGAATACCATTCAATGAAGAAACGCCTTCTTCTTTAAATTGATGTATCAAAAGGAAAAATTAAACAGATTCACACCTCAGATTTTCTCTCAAAATCAGATTTTGCAGCAATCAAACAATTTCCAACACGATAAACAGAATCAGATACTCCGAACGATTTCTTTTTGAATCCTTTCAGCAAGACTGTGAACAAGGGGATCACGTCCTCAATGACAACGAGTGTGCTGTATTCTGATGAAAGCAAGTCTTAAGTCGGGAGACAAGCTGTTCTGGTAAATATTTTTTAAAAAATCATACTAATTTTGTGGTGAATTTAATGCACGTCATTAATGTTCCAAATCGTGCAATTTAAGTAACATTAAACAATAATGCCAAATGAGTGGTATTTTTTCACTTTGTGAAAAATGTTACTTAGTGTCATGGCACATTTATAAAAGAGTTTGAGATTTATTATACCAAGATCATTTCATAAATGACAATCTTGCATTGGAGCGATAATTTGACAATACGATAAATCTTAGCATTCTGTTAACTTCTACTGAATTCTGATTAAGCTTACATGTATACCTGATGGACAGCGTTTCCTTACGAGAATCACCTACCTACACAAGACACTCCATTACCAGAATAACCATCTAGACACGTGCAGAAAAATGATCCATTTGTGTTAGTGCAGTTAGCATCAGCATGGCAATTGTGAGCCAAATCAGAATACTCATCAGAAATAAGATCAGGGAAACATTCGTCTATATCTAAAAGGATCAGAACATTTTCAAACGTTACTGAGTGTCTAGTTTATCTAATATTCCTGAGTTAAGGCCTAGATGTCTAGTTTCCATACATCTATCATAGAATAGCATATTATGGTATAGGGTTTGGGTTAGCATAATTATAGTTAGCATAATGGTAATTGAACTGATTGGAGTGCAATTTGTTCTGAAATAATATGCTTAGCGCGAGTTTGATTTTAAATTACAAGTATGATTTTACACCACAATTGCACGACACTAAGTTCAATTACCACTTTATTACATTCATTTTGAAATTGCAAAATTCAGTGATTGAAATACAGGATTTTTTACCGTGTAGAAATAGTTATCGATTCAGTACTGAGCTGGAAAAGTTGTCTTTCATTTCCCTCTAATTATATTTATTTCTTTAAACAAGCCTTGAAATTTGATTGGTTGTTGTTTTTTAGTATTTTTTTTTCTCATTAGCTGAGAAAAGAAACGATTTCGAGCAAAAAGTGGTGTGACTCGTAAATAAATCGCACCACTGAGAACCAATCAGATTGCAAGCATCCCCGGTGATTTCAAATGGATGTAATAATGGGTGGAAGGAATTTCTTATGTCATTTGAACGTTGATTTGTTGGCTTTAGATTGTCTTCGTCAGCTAACCCTTTCGCTCCCAAGATCTAAATAACAATTGTCATCAAAATCTAAATAACAATTGTCATCTTAAGTATTGCAACTCCGAGAATTTGGTATCCTTTAATCCTTGTTTCTTCTTGAAAATATATTAATATTGTTGGGTGAACTTCCTTTTTGGTTACTCTAAGGAGTGAATGGTTAAGGAATAAAAATTTATGTAGAAATTTTTCTCTATTACCTGAGCAAATTACACCGTCTCCTGAATACCCGTAATGACACGCGCAGTAAAATGATCCTTTGGTGTTTGTGCAGTTTGCATCGTTGTGGCAATTGTGGGAATACTGAGTGATGTGATTTGATGCGAGGCTCTGAGTCTGACATTCACTAACATCTGTGTATAAAAAGCAATACTACTTCATAAATGAGTTATTTTCTTAATTGACTCGGTACTGAGGTAATATTTTGTTGCTAACGAAGATAAAGATGGCCCAATGTATAGGTGTTGCAGCAGTTAAAATAAGACCAAGATTGTCATGGTCATACAAATGTATGTATGATCTCGTGTTTAGAGAGGGAGTAGTTACAAAATAAGAACTATGTGAACTATGTTAACATCGACTAATGCTTCAGTATGTACCACGCTTTGTTGGGTTTTATGCAGTCAATATATCGGTGTCATGGCTGATTTTACAAGGCTTCTTTAAACTGTATAGCGATGAACTTACTGAACTTAGTATTGTTAGAGTACTTTAAGGTAAACCAAACATCTGAAAACGAGATATACATGTATATAAATGTATATGCAGCAACTAAGATGGTCACTCAGCATAGAGTACAAGAGTACATGGAGTGAATGAAAACGACAAATCTCGTTTCAATAAGCTTAAGCCCGACTGTCACTAAACTACTGTAGACTTTACAATATTAAAAAGCTGAAAGAACATGGATTTTGACCAATCTGATGCAAATCTATCAAAGGAACACAGACGGGGAACATTTGTTCCCCACTTCGTAAATGTTAGCAATATTATGAGTACCCAGAAGAGAAGAACCGTCAAGTTATGACGCATTTGCTGACGTACTCTAAACCGAGCCGAAGTTCTCAACACACCTACAATGAAAATACTTATTAAAGTTTCTGGTTATGAGTAGAAATAAGCGGTCCATTGAGCTTACCTTCACAACTGACCCCATCTCCAGAGTATCCCGTATGACACGTGCAATAAAATGATCCTTTGGTATTGGTGCAATTTGCGTCAGCGTGACAGTTGTGTTTACCAGTAATGCATTCCTCGATATCTAACGATGAAAAGGTTAGAGTAACTGCATCTGTTTTACTAAATGAATCCATGATGTGCAAGTTCTTCACTGGTTTTAGTCATCTTAGAAGGAATATCCTAAGTTTTTCGATCGTAAATCTCCGTGGCAAGAAATCCCAGCGTCATCATGAGCTTCTAAAGAGCCTTTTAAAAAACCTTAACAGAAACATACCTGTGCAGATTTCTCCTAATCCAGAGAAACCATGAAGGCATGTGCAGTAGTAAGATCCTTTTGTGTTGGTACAGTTAGCGTTCTCGTCACATATGTGAGCCAAGTGTTTATGCTCAGATGACAATCCCGGTGGGTGGCATTCATTTATATCTTTGGAATAAAATAGGCCTCATCAGCTTTATTGTTTGGTAAGCTAGTTACGACAGTTAATGCTTTGCCAGAATATCTCGCAAAAAATTAATAACTATTCACGTAAGACAGACATTCCTTCTCCACGTACACACGCAAACGTACCTGTGCACTCGACACCATTTCCAGAATACCCCGTGTGACAGGTGCAATCAAATGACCCTTTAGTGTTGGTACAGTTGGCATCACTGTGGCAGTTGTGTTTAAGATATTTGTATTCATCTGGTATTTTTTCAGGAAGACATTCATTCACATCTATGGAATGAAATATACAAAAACATCTCTACATGCATTTTTTTCTATAGAGTACACATTTCAACTCAATTTATCCTATCATACAACATTGGTTTAAGCGCCGGAGATGTTTCATACACTATCACACTTGGTCCAAAAAAGAACCAAAAAATTTTCGCTTTGAGACAAAGTTAGTAGCTTCAAGATTGCCTGTCATCTATTTACCAATCGACAGTGTGAAAGCTGTCAAACGAAAACTAGCAATGATCAAATATCACTCTCATTGCGTGATACTTAACTTTACCTTTACAGAGAACTCCATCTCCGGAGTATCCCGTATGACAACTGCAGTAAAATGATCCTTTTGTGTTAGTGCAGTTGGCATCAGCGTGACAGTCGTTTGCTCCAGATGTGCATTCATCGATATCTATGAAGGCAAAGTGTGAAAGAATATTATGTTTTCTGCTCTTTACAGGTTCCTAAGAAATCTGGTAACAGAGTTTTAAATTCATGTTTGGTGCGTTAACCGCAAACGTCAAACCGTGGCTAGCAGTTTCAGGTTATGAGTTAGAAGTTAGAGATTTTGAGCTTTTTGGCTTGAGAAAGTTGTCATGTCCGCTGCCATCTTAAATCACACAAAGGATGGGGTCCTTCATTTCGGACAAAAAGTACGCGCTAAATTTCGAACAGGAAGCCTAATGGCGGCAAGGGAGTTGACCAGTCTGAAACTGCCTTACCCGAAGTTCAAACGGGGACAGCAAATGGCGAACATGACCGTTGAAGTCTGGTCACGTGACATCTAGCGGTTTGCGATCGCACGTATTCAGAAAAACACGTGGATCTAAAACTCTAATTGTGTTTCGTAGGGAGGTATGTGCATTAAATTCAATGTAGTTTGTAGTTTTAAGCCTTCTGTAAATTGTACTTTCTATAAAAATTGTAGCGCTGTGGTAACGTCATGTAAGTAAAGCAGTATTGGGGCTTACTGTACGATTAATCTAGTGATGTAATATAATAGTGTAAGTTAATGTCTGTCTGTACTTAATCTCTGTTAAGTAATACACGATAATCAAATATTAAATAGGTCTCAATAAAGTCCTGTCTCAGTTTTCACTAGGGTTAACCCAGTTTGACTAATACAATTTACCCTCCCAACTGTTAAGGTTTTCTTTTTGTATTCTGACGAAAATTAGATTTACAGTTACCCGAAGTACTGTTCATCACTTGTTGTTCGACCACTTAATACCATCGCAAAGTGTAAACTTTACAAAACATGTAGGAACAGCTTTCCTGATGCAGCATTACCTTGACACAAGACGCCATGTCCAGTGTATCCCGTATGACAACTGCAGTAGAATGATCCTTTCGTGTTCGTGCAATTAGCATCCACATGGCAGTTATCTACTTCAGTAGCGCATTCTTCTATGTCTGACATGCAAGAAAACGAAAAACTGCAGTTAAAAAGTACAAACATACTTTGCAATTAGTTGATTCCTCTATTCAGCTGTGATTCATTTTCCAGAAGGATTTTGAAAACTCAAGTGAGTCAGTTATGACTTTTAACGAGAAATCCGTTCCCTTGGGTCTAACCAGCGATTTAGGGAGAAAAGTTAGAGAGAAAAAAAGTGGCACTCGTGCACACCAAAGAATAGTTTAAACAGATAGCTCGAACATTTTAGAAATATACTAAAATTATTAGGTCAAAATTTTATCGCTATGTAATCTTGAAGACCTTAGCAAGTATTAATATAGTTGAAGATCTGGAGGTTAATATAACTGTGTATGCTATGTTCACTTCATATTGCATACTATGTGCACTTCCTATTTCTTGATAAGTCGGCCGAGTATGAATTTCTTTGAAATTCATGCAAATTGCATCAGGGAATCTGTGATGCAATTTGTTATCATTTGATGTAGTTTACTCGTATGAAACAGATAATACGAAATATGGATCAGGAGTTCCAGGATCTGCTCCTCCTCCATAGTTCTCATGTAGGAACACATTCCGTTCCGCCGACAGGATCCCATGCACACTCTGCCCATCTGACGGTCAATCAAACCAGATGGCATATGAAACCCTGTACACGTGAAAATACGGTTTCAAATAGTTTAACCTATAATGCTTGCTTGGGTAGGACCGACGTGAATAGATAAATATTGTTGGTGACATTAATGGCATTATGACGCATCCTTTACCTACCTACACAGGATACTCCATTACCGGAATAACCACTAAGACATGTACAGTAGAATGATCCTTTTGTGTTGGTACAGTTTGCATCATCGTGACAATTATGAGTCAAATAAGCATGCTGGCTAGAGTTCAGATTGGGAAAACACTCATCCATATCTAAATAGGGAAAACGTACTTATTTCATTACAAACTCTTTATTCCGTGAAAATTATAATTAGGTTCAAATGATTATGTGGTGTATACTTTTTTTGTTCGAACGACTTTAGGGTGGAACTCTCGACTGTCAAAACTTTCCCTGCTGCTTTTGGCGTCATTTTTGCTTATTCCAGTTTTGGACCGTGATGCCACCATTGCCGTGAATTCTAGTTTAAGTCAAACTGGTGAACCGTCTGTAGCGAGATCTCTCTAACAAAAATTAAGCCGGCTGTGTTGATGCTTATTTTGTGACTTGTTGAGTTTTTATAAGTAACGTCGAAGTTTGCGGTCAATTTTTGCACTATTCTCAATTAGAGACTGCTTCATAACTACAAGCGAGAGTGCTGATCAGGTTTTTTTATTACTCAGTTACCGATTGGTGAAGAAGAAATCAAAAAGGCCAAAGTCAGAAGTTTAGTGATGTTGTCTTTTAAAAACTACCATATTTCATTATCGATGTTTACTTACCTTCACAAATTAGACCGTCTCCGGAGAAGCCGTGATGACACGTGCAGTAAAATGAACCTTTGGTATTTGTGCAGTTTGCATCTTCGTGGCAATTGTGGCGATAATTGCTGTGATAAGGTGCCAGACTTTCAGACTGACATTCGCTTATATCTGAGAATAAAGATTATCACGTAAAGGAGTCATCTCTGCAACTCTTTTATGAAGGGGCTAAGAAATCGAAGGTTTTCAATGTTAAAATACAAAATTGAGAACATTCAGCCTACCTTGGCAGGTGACTCCATCACCAGAGTATCCTGTCGGACAGGTACAATAGAATGAACCTCTAGTGTTGGTACAGTTGGCGTCAGCATGACAGTTCTGTCTTCCAGTTGTGCACTCATCGATATCTAATAAGAAAAAAGTACTTGTCTGAGCAAATTACGTATAATTATAGAATCGAACATTACCTGATAACAAAAGGAACTACAAGGAAGCTAAGACATAATATAACTCAACAATATATGGTATTGATATATCACCGAAGACAATTTTAGGTATTTGCTGCATGAACACGCGTGCATAAGTTAAACCACAAGCACCAACCGAAGTAAGAAAATTCTGATCAGTAATGTTCAAAATGCTCATCATTAACCTTCAAAATCCAAGCAGAAAATATTGTCATGGAAAGCCTTATTCTGGTTCTTCTTGATGTCGGTTATACGCTCACGCTTACACCAGTTTTGAAGCAGACACCGACCATCACACACATGTTCTCCGTGAAAATATACCTGTACAGTTCGTTCCTGATCCAGAGTATCCTTCCAGACATGTGCAGTAGTAAGATCCTTCTGTGTTTGTGCAGTTGCCATCATCGTGACAAATATGAGCAAAGCCCTGGTGCTCAGACGACAATCCTGATGAGTCGCATTCGTTTATATCTTTATACAAAAGGAAGAATAGTGTCAACTGATAAGAAGAATAGTGTCAGTCTGTGTCAACTGATAAGTTGAAATGAAGTGAGAATATGAGTCGTAAATTGATTTATTCTCTAGATACAATTATCCCCTTACCTGTGCAATCTACTCCATCACCAGAATATCCCGCATGACAGGAGCAGAGGAAGGAACCTTTAGTGTTGGAACAGTTGGCGTCAGCATGACAGTTGTTCTCAAGGTGGTTATATTCATCAGATATCTGATCTGGGAAACACTCGTCCACATCTGAAATGAAATAATTTCAAGTCTTATTAGGAATGATGATAGACGATGATCTCTCCGGACTGAAATTTCTTTTTTAGCGAGAATTAATCTCCCCATACAGCGCAGGCCTCGGAGTTATCAAGAGATTTTATGTCAATTGAAAATATGTACACTACTTAAATTTTACAAACTCTGACTACACACACACATGAGACATTCAATGCGAAAAGTTTATCTTAAGATGAGTCAGCCAGTCTTGTAGTATACGGACCCTGATACAATCTTAACATGTGTCCACTGACACTAAGGGTTCTACAAAAAGAACCTATGCTTCGCTAGATACGAAAAACCACAACAAAAATGACTCTTTAGTAATGGCCACAATATATGTGGAAAAGTATTCCTCATTTACTGCAGCAGCTCAATACCTCGAGGAAGGGGTAAACTAATTTGGTTACACAGCTAATCACAGAGAAAAAAATCAATTAACGTAATTGCTCAATTGACGTAATTTCATGGAGTTGGAAAACGAAAATTACAACATATATAAAAAAAAGTGGTCAAACTTAGAGTGATTAGACTGGCCAACTTAGAGTGATTTAATTTTCCCGCGAAACGCCAGATGCCACGCAAACCTCTTTGACATGCCATCAGAATATAAATTTCTGACTGATTCGTTTCCATGTCACTCGAACGTCATTAATTACATGTTGTTATACATTATCATATATTGATAAGCCATCTTATGATTAACCTATCGCTTGTCTGACATTGAATTGAAATTACCCGTGCACGTGATTCCATTCCCAGAGTAACCATGGAGACAAATGCAGTGAAAAGAACCTTTGGTGTTCGTACAGTTGGCATCAACATGACAGTTGTCGGTATTAATGGCACATTCCTCAATGTCTGAAAAGGGATTTATAATATTTTACATTCCAGCAAAGTGAATGATGCAGCTTGGTTTTTAGGAAGACAAAAATATTAGTAGCGTTGATTCGGAGCAACTGTATACCAAAATTAAAGCAACTGTATACCAAAATGTTGAAGAATGAAAACAGCCTCTTTTAAAATGGACGCCGCGATAGAGAATAAAAACAAGAAATAAAACAAGTGGTGCTACAACGTACCATTGCAGAGGACTCCGTTGCCAGTGTAACCAGAATGACATGCACAATAAAATGAACCTTTCGTGTTTGTGCAGTTGGCATGATGATGACAGTTATCTATACTTGTGGTACATTCTTCAACGTCTGAAATGGAAGAACTGTTCTCGTGAAAACGAAATTGATTTGATATCTTGAGGCCTGAAATACTCGATCAAAAGTAAAGAAGGAAGGTTAAAACTGAACACACTCCTTCCCTATTTTCATAGTGTATCGCAGTGTGAGGTATGGTTAATTAATGAAACTTTACTTAGGAATTAATTTCAAGCTTTTTTCAGCTTTTTCAAGGTTTAAAAGGTTTTTTTGAACCAGTTTGGCTTTTATGTTTCTTTGCCTTTATTCCTCATCATAATCTGAGACACAAGAACGTAAAAATCAAATTGATTTGAAGCCATGGAGAAGATGTATTCATAACATATACGATTACATCGCATATTTGAGAGGTCTTGGTAATTGTTAGAAAGGTATAAAATGGAACTCATCTTGATAGCGCCCTTTCGCCAATTAATTTATCTCATAAGATCTAAGTTTCCTCAAAAATTACCCCAGGCAAGAAGACGATATTCTTCGTAACTCGGTCAAATATTTTCTCTCGCGCACGATTGGTCTAAACACATCACGTGAATAAATATTCTCCACCTAAAGATGAGGAATATTCGATGTTATTATCCAACTACACTTCGTAGAGTTCAAATAACGTAATAGACGAGTACAAATATCACGCGGTATTTGTACTCTAGAGTACCGGTTAAACAGGTTTTCTTGCATCGCGCAAGGGAAGAATTGGATTGTAGTTACGAAAAAAAATCATATTTCCGACGACGAAGAGTCAGAATGGCTGGCAAATATACATCCAAGTTTATTAGATGAATCGAATGAAGAAAAGCAGCTAGACGACCTGGAAATTTCTTCATTTATTGAAGAAAATAGAAACAGCAACACGACAACGCGCCAATTCTGTTCCACTCCCCATACTTCTGTCACGCACTCCCCGTCAATAAATATCCGCGAAATTCGCCCGCACTGAAATATATAACAGTTTGGCGTGTTGGATAATAAATAACTTATTAGACGTTTTGTTGTGTAGTATCGCTGAGTATTTTTACTCGTTATTTGTATTTTGACTCGCCCTAAGGGCTCGTCAAAATACGGCACAACTCGTAAAAATACTCAGCGATACTACAAAACAAAACGTCTAACAAGATATATATATTCCCTAAGCGACATCCTTTAATTTTCAAATCCTACGGTAAAAGTCGTTTCAAACTTAACTCAAGACGAGAGAACGTTTTGCTGTTGTCACAGAAGTGACTTATTTGTTTGTTCTGATTCCGTTGCCGTGAACACTGAAAAGTGAACATCCCACGCTGTAAACTATATGCTGATCGTGAACATTTTGTCCTGTTCGTTGCAAAAAATTAATATTTGAAGCATGAAAAACACAATATCCTCCATTCGGCGCGAAAATATACTCGTTCGTTTGTCCTTGGACATTATCTGTTCCTCCCAGTTTTCCTCGAGCTTAGGTCGAACTTCGCTCTCGGAAAGATGTTCGCTTCTCATGACGGATATATCTGCCAACAAACAATCCAGCATATTTTTACACCAAGTAGAGGCTATTATTCATATATGGATCAGGAGGTCGCGTGACATCAAGTTACTCTTATTGTGACACGATCAAAAGCGAAAGTGTGCTTACCGTGGCAAATTACCCCATCCCCGGAATAACCATCTAGACACGTGCAATAAAACGATCCTTCTGTGTTGGTGCAGGTTGCATCCATGTGGCAGCTATCTAGAGCGGTTTCGCATTCTTTCACATCTGCAGAGAAGAATATACTTTCGAATATCTCGCCTGGGCGTTTTCGCCAAGATTCGAACAAATCAATTCAAACTTGTGATTTTGAGGTTCCTTGCCTACACAACTGACACCATTTCCTAAAAATCCGTCAAGACACGTACAGTAAAATGATCCTTCAGAATTAGTGCAGTTGGCATGGGGATGACAGTTGTGAGAGTCGTGATTCTGAAGGATTTTGATGCTAACAACGCCACATTCATCGATATCTTATCAGGAAAGAGCCATAAAACCAATTATTTTCTTCAAAATGATTCTTATCCCTTACTGCATTAAATTTATGACAAACGGAGAGCAGAATAGGCAAAATATCCTTAGAGCCTTTAAAAGTCATTGTTATAAGGAGCATTCTTTTCTTAGAGATCTTATGTACTATTGGTGTCATTTCATTGAATATTCACGAACACAGAAATACTCATCGGATCATGATGACGGTGACGTTTCGAGCGTTAGCTCTTCGTCATTCGCTCTGACAAAGGGCTAACCCTTGAAACGTCAGCTTTTAAACTCTTTACGGTGGCAATTTACATTATAATCTTAGTTGATAAGTTACCTTGTTACCCCCACCGACGCAGCACCACAGTTTCTTTAGAAACTTACCCCCCTTTATTAGGTGAATGAAGATTTTGTAAAGGACAAAACCCAGTTATAAGTGCTGCAACGATCACTTTGGCGATATTGAACTCATGTCTAATCACCTGAACACGTAACTCCATCACCAGAATATCCAGAGTGACAAGTGCAATGAAACGATCCTTTGGTGTTGGTGCAGTTAGCAATAGGATGACAATTGTGTTTTCCGCCATTTGAGCACTCATTGATATCTAAAGAATGAATAATTTATACCTTTACTTTAAAGTCGCGCACTCAACGAAGCTTATTTTTGACACTCATAGGTGTTTAGAGGACCCTCTTATTATTCAGATTTTGTTAAGGTGATGTCCTTCAAGAGATTAGCACCCACAAAGGGACCATCCTGTGAGTAAACAGAACAGTTTATTTCCCATCTCGAGGGACAACACTGAGACTTTCATATCGAACATATTGTGTTATACAATTTCTTTAACAAGGACCAAGAACCCAAAGCCTACTCACAACTCAAACTTAGATCCAGAAATAAAGAGCGAGTGTTTATTCATCTATAACATTCCTCACCATCACAGTATAAGCCATTTCCAGAAAATCCGTTTAGACATGTGCAGTGGTAAGATCCCTCAGTGTTTGTGGAGTTAGCATGATCGTGACATATGTGACCTAAGTGCTGGTGCTCAGATGACAACCCGGGTCGGTTGCACTCGTTGATGTCTTTGGAAAAAGGTAGTTTAAACAGAATGAGATATAAAGAAACGTGCTTCTGATAGTAATTTCTATATTTCTTTTTCATCTAGAAATCCACTTGGATGTTAATGTTTAACTTAGTAAGTGGGGCCACTAAACGCACAATGAAATCAAATATGGTAGAAATGAAACGAGAGGATTTGTAATACATCAGTGGGTAGTTAACAAACAAAAGCACATTTCCGTTTGCTGTGCGGACGAACTGAATTAAATTTATTACTCGAATTATTCAGTTGCATTTGTTGGAAACACAAGGAAGTTAGGGTACTGTCAACTCTGTGACTGGGAACTCCAAATTCAGATTTGCGTATTTTAGCATTCTCTGCGTAACGAAAGTGATGGAAAAGGGAGCAGTAATCTATCTATCTTGGCATAAGTAGGTCGTTTTCCTTTAGTTAACACTGCTTCCTTGAATATAATCGTATAGTATCTTTCAATCATCTTATAAGTGAACATTTGTTTCATCGTTTTACTTTACAATTTACTGCTTTTTTATGATAAGGTATCTGAAAATTTAAATTATTCAACTTGCAAAGATAATTTAACATGTTTCTCGCTTTCACTGACTATTACTATCCGTTTGTCTTACCGACACATGCGACCCCATCACCAGAGTATCCCGATGGACACGTTCAGCGAAATGATCCTTTTGGGTTGGTGCAGTTGGCGTAAGCATGACAGTTGTTCCCAAATTGAAAGTCACCTACAGATTCACACTCGTCCACATCTAAACTTTAAACAGTAATGCTTAAAAGATTTTCCTTTCAGTTCAGGGTATCAAATAGAAGGATGTGAACCCTCTAAAAGGATTGTCGCTAAGCGCCACCTGCCGGCGATCGCTCGATGACGTTGAACTTACGCATTTACAGTCTCTCGATATCAAACGCTATTGTCTAACTGAAAAAAATTGGAATATCTGCCTGAATAACCTTTTCATTCGTGCAACTTCCATGAGTATTGGGTATGATTGAAATAAAACGCTGTTTTAAGTTCATGTTTATCGAGACTCATGATTTCCGTTTCTTGCGTCTAACATCTTGTAAACAAGAAGCTTAGTAGGTCCATACCCAAAGCTTTGCGAATGACTGAGAACAAATTGTCGTTACTAGGCTGGCTCTTTCGTTGCACAGAAAGCACCTCTGAGGAGCCATCTTTGAACCGCGTCACTTGAAATTTCAGCCGACAGCCTTACGTCTTAGCGACAACCCTGCGCTAAAGTGAAACAAGAGAATGACTAAAACGGCCCTTGCTTTTTAAAGTTTAAATTGTGGTGTGAATTCCATTGGTTCTGAAAAGAATGTACCAAAACTTTAACTCATCTGCGAACGTTCTCTATAACTCTTAAAGTTAAATCATATTTCACAATTCAGTTGACAGAATACAAGTACTGATGGTTGAGGAAGACTAAGACTCTGACCACAAAGACAGCGTTTTCCTTGTTCAAAGTCAATTTTTCTTGAACAACAAAGCAAGTTTTTGCCTTTGCTTGGCCAACAGCAATTGCCCTAAATTTTCCTCATAGCAGTTTCAGCCCGGATTCTTGGGATCAGTTTGTTCATTAATCCAATTACTGTCCTTCTTACCGGTTGTCTAACTTCTCTCGGGGGCTTTGATTGGTTTGTCGCTTTTCATGAAAAGTTTGATGAGAATCAGCGAGATTATCACAAACAGACGCTAAATTCATTGTTCTCTTTGTTAAATACCATGCACAATTATGTCATAATAGCAATAGTGTGCAGGTACTGTTTACTTAGCTCTACGGTTGGTATCGCAGCGTCTAGCATCATAATTGTTACAGTTAGCCATAGAACAGACATTAAAACTGCACATTGGGAGCAGTAATATTAATAACAGCGATGGATCAGGCGTTACTAAAAAAAACACTGCACGAACGTAACTTACACATTTAAATGATTAATTAGGGGCAGTATAGCATATGCAATTAATGTTAAGGAGCTTAAAGCTTTAGATACCAGCGTAAATGTTATCATCTCATCGCGTTATTGATTTAGCTCAGTGTATGTGCATAGGGGAAAAGGTGCTTTTTCATGCAACTGTTTGGTACAACTGATATTTCTTGAAATTCTATCAGTTTCTTAGCTGTCCCTCTTGAGTAAGACTTCGTTACAACAAGAATTTCTCAGTTAGCTAGTCATCATTTTTGTTAAACCTACGATCAGAACTATTGAAACAATTAAAAAAAAAAGGTTAACGAGAACCTACGCAAGTATGTCCACGTCATGTGACATGTGCATGGTGGTGATTAATCCGTTAGTGCTGCTGCACTTATATCAATTGATTATCTAAGTGAAAGAGATATAACAAAGGATCACGAGGGACTATCGTCGACCTTAAAGAGAAGGCATATAGTCTAATAATTTATTTTGTTGTAAATCTTCCTTAAAACTCGCCTAATGTACCTAAAAAGTCCTGAGGATGAAAACACCTAATTACATGTAACAGAGAAAATAAAGTCTGATGCCTTAAAATGTACAATTAAGCCAAAACAGATTTAATTTCCTGAAATGCCTTGCATTTGTAATTGCCGCTCATAAAAGTCTAGGTGGATTTAAAGTTTAGGAAATAATTCTTCAGAACAAGTTGCACAAAATGTGTTGTTACATGAACGAATACTGCTAAAATTTCCATGGGGAAAACGGCAAAGCACTCATGAACCTCAAGATAAAATTAATACACAGCAATATCAATGCAAGATTGAAGCATGCGTTAGGCAATGTTATGAAACCTTTTAGGAAGCGAAGCGACCTTCGGCCTGTGTGTTAGAGAGTAACCGTCAGGTTAGTACATTAGCAACAATTAACTGATTTCTTAGGAATAAAGTGCAATTAGTATTTAAAAACACGCTACATAGGTTGCACCAGTTTAGGTTTGATTTACGTCCACAAGGAACGCAGCTATAGACTCACTATGCATAACCGAAATTATTATCTTGACTGAAATTCTACTTTATCACAGGGATGCCTTGATTTCACCTGGTAATAACGTAGTAAAAGTCATATGTGATACCTACGTTTATAGACAAATTCGACATAAGATCGTCGGGAAAAAAACATGCACGATTAAGTGCATGTTTTTTTTGCCCTTTCCACTTCCTTTACTTTCTTGCTCTTTGATTTACATCCTAAAAGAAATAAAATTAATGCTCAGTTGTACTCACAAACCTAAGAGTACATGAGCTGCCTGCGTTTTCTTGAAACCTGTGATGATCTGTTTAACCCGGTACTGAAAAATGCTATCATTCACGAAGTGCAGAAATTTGGTCTTTAGTGCCCACATCTTTATATGTTTCTTACTTGTTTTATGATTGTGTGTATAGGGAACTACAACTGTATGCAGACAAGACTAGCTCATATAGCCTCTGGGTTTAAGACAAGACTAACTCATATAGCCTCAGGGTTTAATTTTGGCCTTCGAAGCGAAAGGTGGCAAGGATTATTGCAATTCAGCCTTCCCGAACCTGATATTTAGACGGCTCTCATCTTTACTTCTAGGCCAAGAGGCACCATCAGCCAGTGCTGAGAGCTATTTTTTGATCCGAAATCCACTGCGTCTCCCAAGTGAAAGAGTACAACAACTGGCCTAGTGCGAGTATTTTAGAGCAGTTACCTCATCCATACAGCATTCTTGATCTCATCACATTCGGTACCGTTGACTTTGTTCCCCACTGACATCGTTGAATCGCTAGAACCGCTCAGATATGTTTAAATACACTGAAAAACTTGCAAAAAGTTTGTTTTCAACAGTTAGCCATATACTATGCTCTGAATGAAAAAATAATGCAAATTGACACAATGATAAATTTTCTTACCTTAATTGGTACATTGAAGCTAAATCCTGTTGAGAGGTAGTGTTACAATGCGTCTGTATCGCGAATGGTGGGGCGATTTGGGTGATATGCGAGTAACTCCTGATCCATATTGCGTTTGCTGAATATGACATTGCACACTTTTCGGACAAATGCAGTACTTTGCAAGGCTCACGGTTTGCTTTGTAAAGCCCGATTTGCCAAGGACAATGTCATATTACAACAAACATACTATTCGAAATAAGTTATTAAATCCATGCAGTATGATAATTTTTGTATGATATATTTTGATAACTCTTACCAGTACATGAAACTCCGTTTCCCGTGTACCCATTGTCACAAGTGCAATAATACGACCCGTCGGTGTTGTTACAGTACCCATCTGCATGACAGTCGTGAAGATTAAGAGAGCATTCGTCTATGTCTGAAATCAAACGGCGCAACGTCGTAAATAATGGCTATTACGTTAAAATGAGCTACTTCCTCGTAAGGGTGTCAAAATGGTGGATTCGGATATGGTGAATAATAAAAAGCTTTTCTTTGTTTACATAATTATTTAGTGAAATTCGCAAAAAAGGGAAAAGGAAACGTCAAAATTATGCGACCTAATTGGTTGACTCAGCTATATTTTCGAATGCCCACCATAAATTGACGGGGAAACACAATAGAGAATATAACACGTTGGCGAGATGATATAAATTTTATGTTCGAGCGGCATTACCAATATCTTGCTCGTACCCTGCGATTACTCGTGGGATAAAATTCGTGCCACTAGAACATAAAATGCACTTCTTTGAGCTCACTTGTAATGTTCTCTTTATTATATGGACGATAAATATACTTAGCAGGTATTGAAAAGCTGGCTCTTATGCACTGAACACAGGGTATCAACATAAATAAAATACCCAATTTTTTTTTTATTAAAAAAATTTGATTAATTTTTTAAACATAAACTAGAGAGCAGCACTTTTGCCAACAGTAGTTGTAAAACTTCTTTATTCTCCGACGCGCTTCGTCTAACTGTCGTAGACTTCTCAGGGAGTTTTACAAGTATAACTAGACACCCGTATTTATAGGCCAAAGTTAGTGGCCATTACGGGGGCCAATGACCACAGCACGGGCTGATACTCAGGTTACGGTTAATCAGAATTCACAGACAGAAACTGAATTACGTAGGTTTGTGTTTAAAATTTTAAAATTCTGAAACTGTACGGTTTTTGAAATTAAAATCTTCAATTGAACAGTTCTTTTAGGAAACATCAACACTTAAAAATCATGCTAACCGCTTGAAAAAGGAAGCGAAAGACTAACAAATTTGTAGCATTTATGAGAACCGTATGGCAGGTTTCCTTGAATTGTTGTATTAGAAAATACCTAGCTTCGTGTCTGAAGATTGTACGATTTCATTCAAAACAAAATCCGCCATTGAACAACACTTTTTGCACATATCAACACTTCAAATAATATTTACCGTTCTCATAAATTAAGAGTCCCCAACGTGGCAAAGCCTCAGTTGAAGTCAGAAAACTCAGTTTTCTTTTCAGTCATAATCCGCATCGCGCTTGGTAACGAAGGATCGTCAACTTCAAACTAATTTCGTCGCTTTTAAGAGCTACCTGCTGGTTTTTTTCGAAACAAGTGTTATTCAGTTTATTTGCTTTTCGTTTTGAGCTGCAGAAGGTCTCTCTTAATCGGGATAGAGCAGAAAAACAATCTTGAAAGTTTTGAAACCTCGCGGCCAAACTCGACGGGAAATTTTCAGTGACAATGACGTCAGCCTGAGCCATCTCTATGAACCATCCACTTCTTTTCATAAAATATTAGCCAGTCAGCGCGTGTTATCATGTAGCTATGTTATAACAACTACTGACTCGGAATTGAATCTTTAGATACTTCTACTTTCAGCCTCTTTTCACGACAAACCTTTGAAGGCCGTTCAGCCTCTTTACGACGAACGGAGAGAATAAACTCCTCGTGCTTCTCATCGAAAAAAATTCTTTGAACAGTTTCGAATCTCGCTGGTTTGCGTTTTTGTTCTGCGTGCTTTCTATGCCACATAACCATCCTCAGAAGTTCCTCACTAATCTTTTGTTAATAATGCGACTCAATAAACAGCGGATTTTAATAAGGTTGAATGACATCGCCATGATATGCTTAAAGCGTGAAAAAACATGATACACGGCCCCTGATCGGACGGCGTTTTCCTCTCCTGTGAAAAAAGCGCTAGGCGCCATTTGATTGGCTCTAAGCTTCTTCGACCAGCTTGCTAATGAAAATTTATTACGCGCCTTTTCAAGATGCAAATCTCAGCATTTAAATAATAAGGAAAGGGAAGGGCTAAGTGCAGTTTGGCCGCATGTAACCATCATTCATAATTATTACTCCTCAACAAACCTGTGCAGTTCACGCCATCTCCACTATATCCTTGTTTACAGGTGCAGACATAAGATCCTCTAGTATTGGCACAAGTGGCATTAATGTGACAGTTGTCCGTATTTTCGACGCATTCGTTGACGTCTTTATATTAAACATGAAAAGAGAATTAGATACATTAACAGAAAGGGCTGTAAGAAATCTAGGTAGGGCAGCCTATACTTTTTGGCTGAGAGCACTGATGACCATACGAAAAAAAAAAATAAAGAAAAGGACCAACCAGAAAGATACGAACGAGGGTCTCCTTAGATAGACGTCATGGTCTTAAGAAATACTTGACAGCATATACGGTAATTAACAAATAAGGTCACTGAGGTATCCAAAAAGAAATGCAGTCATACATCGAAAGAAAATTCGGGGACAGAGAGGTACCATCAGATAAATGTAAAAAAATGACGTTTTCACATGAGGTTATTTTTAGCGTGAGATGGAACGGGGTCTGCTTCCCCGGACGTCCACACTGTGGATTCCTAACGTAACTTGGTATCTTTTCCAAAGTTATTCCAATAATAAAAAACCTCCCCGCTGTTCTCCAATATCTCAATGTAACTATGCCCTCTTCTAGTTAGCCTGAGCCATCTATTTTAAACTAGGCAATTCAGGTCATCCCAACAAAGTTGATAGCGGTCGTTTGTTCACATGAACGGATCGATGTTACTCTTTAAGGGCACCTCTTGGAAAAAAAAGCTTTCGTTTCAAAGACTTTCTATGAATAACTTTGGTGAAGTTGACGTTTTCCGTAGCCTGGACCAGGAGCCTCCCCGTTCTTTGTCCCCTCATTTTCTCTTGTATATATGTACACCCCGTTATTACCTGAGCAAGAGACACCATTGCCGGAATATCCCATTTGACATTCACACCGAAAGGAGCCGTCTGTATTTATGCATTCACCATCTGCGTGGCAATTATGAGCGCCCACTTGACATTCGTTTATATCTGAAAGTGTTTAAAACTATTGATTAAAACTTCATCGTTCATTCAAGGTACGTTTAACATTTACAGCATTGTACCTGTGCACGTGACTCCATCTCCTGTGTACACCGATATACATGTACAGCGGAACGATCCATGTGTATTAGTACAGCTGGCATTAACATGACAGTTATGCCTATAGGCCAAGTTATCGGTTTCGCACTCATTGATATCTGGAAAACATACAACACAGTGAGAGATTTGGTAGCGAAAGCTCATGAGAAATATCACAGATAGTTGCTTGGATTTACCACGTAGGCTTAAATTTTAGAATGATGATTTCCAATGAAACTTTTATCACACCCACCCCTGGGGAAAGCGCAAAAGGTTTTTATCAGCTAATAGCTAAGGAATATAGATTTGAATGAAGCTCAAGAGCCCAACCGCATTCATCAAAATACTTTCTCAGAGGGGAAGGATCTTAGCGCTGTATTATTGAGTTCAGTTTACCTTTTCCTCAGAATTTAAATGTGTCCAATCGCTCACGATTCATATTTTGGCCAGATAATGTATTTTCAATCTGGTATGAAAGACCTACACTTACCAACACAATTAAAGCCATCTCCGAAAAAGCCAGATTCACACCTGCACTCAAAGTGGGTAAGCGTGTTTATACATAATGCGTCCTCATGGCAGTTATCAAGGTTTAAGTCACATTCATTAAAATCTGTAAAGTATCAGGCAAAGCACAGTGCAAATGAATGTATGTATGTACAAAATGTTAACAGTGGATAGCTTTGAAGGTGCACTCTGATTGGCTATTCAAGCTCCATATAACCTTTAGTCTTCACCTCCTAGCAAACCACCACCACTAGCGACCTCCCTAATGGTTCATGAGCTGTCCATTTTTACAAAGAGATCAAAGCAAAGAAAGCAATCAAATTACGAGGGCAGTTATTTAGAGTCTTTAGTGCTTTATTTATGTTTATGAGCTCATTAAAACAGTATCAATCTGAATTCTTCATGAACGCTTCGAATGAATCTGTTCACTATTACTTGTAACTTTTTATCCACTGCATCTCCTTCCTCCTATGTCTTTCATTGGAACACACGCTTTGTAGACAAAGGCGGTATTTTAGTCACTTTATGGAGCCACCTACATGTTTTCTACATCATGTCAATTTGCCCTATGTATAAAGGTAAACATTTCTAAGGACTGATAGATTTAACTGCAATTTCCTACCTTTGTACCACGTACAGGATTTACCGTCCCCAGTGTAACTCAACATACAGGTACATTGATATGAGCCCGCAGTGTTAGCACATGTGGCATTGGCATGGCAGATATTAGGTTGAAGGCATTCGTTTTCATCTGTTAGCGGTAATGAGGACAAGAAATACAACAGTGTTTAAACATTCTATTAATGAAGGTGTGCTCTCGGAGAGCTTACATAAAGTACATTTCTCACGGTGATCTCTTACCCTCTGCCAACCATGTCATATGAAATCCTTCATACTCTTTGTCTCCATCTGTTTCAAAGACAATCCTCATCGGTCCAACTGTAGATATATCTGGCGGCAGTACATCTGAGCAAAATGTGCCTTTTGCTGGTGCGTCTTCAGTATTTCCTTCCTGCACTTTTACCCAATCATATTCGCAATTTTCTTTTGTTTCCAACACAAATGTATGAAATGTTAGTGTGATGTCATATCCTGGACCAAGGTCAATAATCCACTCGCACTTAGCAACGTTTGGATAGTTTTGCGGATGATTTGGGGACATAATGGTGCCATTGACTGTCGAGAAAGTCACTTTGCAAATACCTAGATAAATATACATATTTGCTTATAAACTTTGAGTGTTCGATTTTTTAAAATTACTTTTTATAGTGGCCGAATTGCCTTACACTCTCTTGGAAGGAATAGTATTCCGCAGCTCTATCAACTGACTCTAATGACTCGTAGTCAGGCGAGGAAAATGAATGATCAAGCGTAGCCATTCACATAGCATAATGGTTTAATTGTTTGATATGTTTTAGTGCCCTCTCATTAGTACTGCTGTAGGTTCAAGAGGTACCCAACATAAAAATTCATCCCAATAACATCAACAGAGACAGAAAAATCTAAATTCCAGGAACACGAATGGTTGTAATCAAGAGGCTAAACACGCGGCAGGAATAGCAAGTTATCATCGTTATGCATAAATGGCGACGCTCGACCTCGTCGCCTGACTGGCAGTAAGGTAGCTCAAACATACATGCATACATACTTTATTGGCTCGTCCCCACGGGGCTTTTCAGAGTCAATAAGTCACTTGCAGAACTCAACTCTAATATTGCGATTGATTCCCGATCTTGACCCTAACGATTAAACGTTCATTTATCCAAAATAGATTTTTTATTTAAAAGTCTCTTACTGATGATAAGGCGTGTTCCAGAGAGATGCAATAAGTAGTCAGAAGTCAGAGAACTAACCCGGCTTTGCTCTTTATTCTATGGCATAGAAAATTAAGCCAATCAGAATAAAGGAAAGCTGGTGCGTATTCTCTGCTGTTACAGGTTGTCTTCCCATTGTATGCTACAGTTCTATTCCCTCCAAAATTTATCTATTGGGGTCATTCCCAGATTATTCAAACCGTTTGACCATAATATTTTGTCTATTTTTTCCTCAGTCTGATTGGTTCTGATAGCGGGCAGTATTATCCCAGTTGGCCCGCTCTGAGCGGGCTGTATCCCCTTCGTTACAATTTTTCATAAATACATCTTGTTTTACTGGCTGGGTAGCATTTTTAAGCGAAGACTTCGGTCACGCCCTTCAGCCGATGAGCAACAATACTCTCTTCTCTCTCTGTCTCAAGTCACTTCGGTTTTTCAAAAATTGATTTTGAAATAAATATTGTGGTAACAAATTTGTTTTTCAACTAGAATGACACGCGGCCTAAAACTATTTGTAATTTGATAATTCTTCACAAAAAGTAACTTAGGGACTAGGTTAAAACTTAAAAGGAGAGGTATTTGTTTAATAACGATTACATTAATTAATTACAATCTGATCTTCATCCATTAAATACCTGAATTCTCCAAAAGATTTTGTTCATTTGTGAAACGTTGAACGAAGTGTTGAGATCTTCGATAAATAAATATACTTTCGCTCATTGTCACTGCAATTTGGACATTTCTTTCTTCCATAAATTTCACAACAACAAAAAAAAACATGCAATTGAATTCACTTTCAATTTGACTTTCCGTGACATTTAGAACTGAACAGAGGTAAATATTCGAAGATTAATTGTCGTTGGAAATGAATGATACATACTTTTACCATTCATTAGTTGTATTCTGTGACATTAATTTCACTTGTCAAACGTCTTAAAGTAAGAGAGTAAGAGTGGTGAAAGTCCTTTGAAATGGTCTGAGGGCATGTTGAATTATTTTGTTCCGCACATTGTATTTTCTGTGAGATTGTTAAAAAGTAGTTTTGCAATCTTTTTCTTGTATATCACGGAATATCTCACATGGCACGGTTTTATCTCCGTGTAAACGCTCGCCAAAAGGCTCATGTATTGCAATCGAGAATATACAAGTGTTTTATAGATTTTTCATGGTATACCACTCGAAAGCATTACATAACTAATACGTATTCCTACCTTGATGTTTTGCTATAAATCCTCGGTTTTGGTGCTTGCTGTCTGTATGCATATGGACGAGGAGTGAGTTACTCGAAGAAACAATCGTTTGCTGTTCATGTGGCGGTAGAGAGCTGCCACAAAGGCGCATAACAACGTCAGTGCTTCCGAAGGAACCTTCGGTTACCGCGACATAGTCAGATGGACAATTGCCAGCTTCTTCGTCCTGTTAAGTATTGAGAAATTGGAAACCTTTTATTCCGTTTTTCTTATCTCAGTTTCGATATCTACTATGACAAAATGGAATTTCTGGCGTTTGAGTGCCAACGAATACGCCGGAAATTAAATATTTCTGCCGCACGAGAGCAACAGGACAAGGGCCTGGGCCCTTCAGTATAGATGCATTATGGGTCTAGTGATACGATTATTAAAGCTTGTGATTGCACGTGGGCAATCATTCTAGGCCGACACCTTCTCAGCTATTGTTAAGTTTATTTATTTATTTTTTGTAAGTATGCATATAGCCAGTAAGAAGGTTACGGGAGCTTGTGCCTGGTTCCTACCCAGATTTCCTGTCTCTTTTTCCCTACGGGGTTTTTTACAGCAGGTTTTTTCTGGCAACCGTTCTAAGCACGATGTTTGTTAGTGGTTGCTAAGCTCTCGGTATGTCTTTTTGTCTCGTGCTATGATAACGATTGCTGAAAATGCAATGGTTTTGAGTATGTGTTCCTTCATTATTGTACGCTGGTGCTCGGCCGAAACATGCAAAATAAACGTAATGGTTCAATATATTAGTGTCTGTTGAGTAGTGTAGCTGAAATCACTTGCTTTATTGCAGGAAAAGAATTGCTACAACAGCATTGCCAAGAGATGATTGCAATTTCATCTTTCATTGGCCATTACATGAGGTAAAAGATAAAGTTACTTGGTAATGGAAATGCGTTTCTAACGTGAGATGTATTTGGGGTTGAAGACAGGAGAAAAAAGTTCTTACCGGAACGGCGTCCATCTGCAAAAGAAGAGGAAAGACCTTTAGAACGTACAATATTGCTTGCCAAAAGATACATCAAATACATACTTTAATGCCATAACCGTTCTTACCGCAAAGTCTTCAAAGTTTAATTCAATGCGGTTTCCTTGTGACACCTGGACCAGCCAGTAACAGTCCATGTCTGGTTTGTAGTGTTGTGGATAGTCTTCAGGCTTAACTGTACCTGACCAGGTCGTTATATTTTGGATAGCACATGTTTCTGCATCCGTAACAGTAAATACTGAAACCGAAGAATTTATAGAGTCATGATCAGCTTCTCAATATATATGGATTCTACATGTATATTTTACCCTTGTGGCGGCACTCTTTACCAAATAGCAAAGGTGCGAGAGCTTAATGCCTTGGCTACTGATTCTAAAAATTAGCTCCTAGAAAGTCCGCCTTCTCGGTCAAACGAAATTCATACTTGAATTACATTACGACTTTTCCCAAGTAGAGCTTTGCCGAGTAGCCTACTTGATTTTGCCTGGTACAACTTTTGTCGTACAGTCATTAAAAAAAGAGGCCGTTCGACTACTTCCGCCTTAATTTCGATTTCATTCGAGAACAAAGCTCACGCACTTAGACGAAACAGTTAAGAAATATGTTACCTGATATCAAGAGCAGCGAAGAGGACAGAGGAAAGTTAAAAAAATTCACTGCCATCTCAGTTGAAGTAGAAAACCATTTGTGTTATGCTGATTATTCTTGTCCTGATCGAGGATCTAAATATCTCTCTGAAGAAGACGGGTCTGTTATCTCTCTACGGAGGCAAAGAAATATTCTTCAGCAGTATTCAAATTGTGTCCTTTTCTTCATTTGTACCACATCGTTTCAAAATCATTCATATAGCTATCATTTTCATCTATTTTTATACGTACCTAAGTGTAATCAGCTGAGTTTCGTAAAACCACAAGACAGGTGATTTAGATGATTAAATGTAGATAACTTCCGGCTCAGGCACTTCCTCTATAAATGATTCATAATCGTTTTTTATGCATGGAAAAAATTTACTTTTTGCGAAAGTTGCAGCTTAGGATTTGCCAGCTTGTAACATTTTATCTTTATTTATCCTGCATCGCTGATGAATTTTTTTGAGGGCCCACGAGGACGCCAAAGAGTTCAACAGTTTGTTTTTGCGATTCCGCTAGATTCAATCTCGCGAAACCCCAAAAACCATTCTTTATATTACGTGTCCTAATAGAAATTTGAAACTGCATAATCCAAAAATTGAAATGTTTTATGTTTAGATAAACGCAAACTTGTTATTTGCAAGTATCTTTCGGTGCTTTAAGCACAATTTAAGGTCCTCATCATCTGTACTCTTTGTACATGGGCGTCGTCTTATACACAAGATATTCCAAAATTTGTATTTGTTGTTAGAGAACAGTGTTGTAGTGCCCGTTATCGCGTAATTTTTTTTTCATTTGGTTTACTACTTGCGTCCTTTTACTTCTTTTTTATAATGAAATATTTCTTACAGTACATGGAACTACTTTAATTTACGTTCAATTTCAGGGAGAAATTGTCTAAAAAACACAGCTATAGTTTCTCTTAGGATTAAAATCGGTAATAGTGATGGTAAATTACATACCTTTACTTGGTACGTGGTCATCAAGTCAGTAAGATCCTTAGAAGAGGCCTCACAGCTATAGATTCTCTTAGGATTAAAATCGGTAATAGTGATGGTAAATTACATACCTTTACTTTGTTCGCGGTCATCAAGTTAGTAAGATCCTTAGAAGAGGCCTCATTCTGTACGGCAGATGTTACAAAGATAAAATATTTATACGTCAAATCAACCAATTGTCTTGTAATGGTAATTAGGGTGACAAGATCGAATAAATATTGTATTATGTTTACTCTTAATATGAATTTTTTATGACCAACCGAACAATAGCAGTAACACACACCAAACAAATCTCTCTCTTTTCATAAATGTTAGTAGCACGAGTTTCACTGTACTCACTGATACGAGTGATGTTTTCATGCATGTTAAAAGGATGGCTTGATGTTTATCCAAATTTTTAAATGAAATTTTCTTCATAGGTTTTTGAAACTACATCACCATCAACACCTGTTCAGGTATTTCCGAAAAACACTTCAAAACGACCAAAACAGCTCATAACATATTTTATTGTCTTACCATTTTTAATCCAGAACAGAACAGAATGTCTGCTACATATACATTCAATCAGTAAAAATAAGTAATCACCAACAATACATAGTTGGCTCTCAAGGATTTAAATATTGCTGCATTTTTCTTTCACGACCGGATTTATATTCTAATAATCTTTTCAATAGTCATAAAAAGCAATTCATGTTTTCCTTTAAATTGAGAGTGCTAATAAGTTTATTTGTAATTTCAGTTGAAGGGTCTCCTCTAGTCTTATGAAAAATTTATCGCCGGCTGATGGGTTGACAGCTCAACAATAAAAAAAAAAAATTATCATAATGGTAATGTCAAGGATATTTCAAAGCGTAGTATTGTCCATCGTGTTCGAAATCAGCACAGGGCAATACGGCGCGAGTTTCTACCCTTTTCGGTTTCAGTACAGCTCAAGCTTTCAATAAGACAATGCAATCAGGTGAAGATATTTTTCGAGTTATGCATAAGAATTCGACCTTACCGATTGGCAAGATACCGCGTATGCCATCTGAGATTATCATCCTCAAGATATAGATTAGATATGAAGATATATCGAGAAGATACGAAGGATGATACGGAAATACGAAAGTTCAATTGATAATCTGATTGGTTCTTCTTTATAGCTTGCAGCTGCGTAATGTTATAGGGGCTCCAATTTGAGTGTTTGGGGCATGAAAACATTTTTCTTCTTTCTTTTATAACTGTTTATTTTGTGCGGGTCTAGCGGGTCTGGAAAATTCTATGAAGCAGAAAGGACACAGCTTCCTGCAACCACGTCATGAAGCGCTCTTTCAATGTGAAATGCAAACATGTGACCTGTGTATCCAACATGTCAACCGTCAGCATCCGGAAATAATTACTTTCGTGTGTTTTGGAAGAAATTTAGAAAAGCTTAAATCACTTCGAAATTTAATATTCTGTTAAAATAGCTTCGTTCTTGCTGCCTGTCATGGTGGCAGTTCAAGTGTTCGCTCAAAATTCGGTCCATTCTGTTTCCTTTTGAGGAACTTTCATCATTTGAATCTCGTTTTCATTAACATCCATCCTGTACATAGACGTGGCTTGCAGCTTTCTGGATTTGCAACTTTCGAGAATGTAGAGAAACGGGTCACAGGAGTTATCATTTCATCATTCCTCATCGATGTGATGACTGGTGATATCCGAAACAAGTTCAGACGTAAACTATCTATCGTAAATATATCAATCCTCGGAAGTACACTTTAAGAGCGTGTCCACGAGAAAACCGAGCATGGGGCGATAAACCTCAAATCACCGATTTGGCTCAAACTTGGCACAAATGCTAACAAATGTGTAAAAAATAATAGGTCAAAATATTTAATTCCCTGGGAGATATAGTGTCCCTCTGGGAAAACCCCCATTTCCTGGATTTTTTGCATAATTAATTAGCTAACTTTGCATTGCTGCTGTGACAAACTGAAAATCCATCTGCAAATTCAATCAACTGAATTGTATTTTATATCTATCAGACTTCTAGAAAATTTAATTGTTTTAACTTTTTCATTTCATTTCTTCCCTTACCTCTCGCTTAGGTAAAGACGACTTTTTCTGGTTTTGACAAAGTCCAAAAATAAGGGTATTTTAAGGCCCAATATCTGCGATGAGCAACCACTTCTGATCATTATTCCTATATGGGCATTGAAAGCCATCGCTGGACTTCCAAAATCAGTAATAACATTTTTCGGAAATTTATTTCATAGCCCGTGCTGACGTGAAATTTTCATCTACATCTCGCTTTTTAGTCCATATCATCAAATTTCCGTACACCACATCTTTGTTTTATCAACTGAAAATAACTTGAAATTTACAAGAAACTTCCCCGAGAGTATCGCTTAAGCATGAACGAGGAGAGAATATTTGAATAGCGCAAGTTGAGCTATTTTTGAGAACTTTTTTCGCAGCCATATTTGGATTATTCTGGAGGAAACGCGGCAGTTGATGAGGAAGATCAAGGGCGCATGTGGTCGAACTTCAATTGTTCTGGGAAAAGAAATCTAGGAAAAGGCCACTTTACAAGTTTGCAAAATTTTTCCCGGGTAAAACCTCGGAAAAATCGACTGAATGAACAAAAGATAAACTTGTCGACCATTTGTCGTAAACACCACCGCCAGTGTGGTAACTGAACTGAGTTTAGTCACCAAAAGATTGCAGTAATTGTCTTTCGTTGCGAAACTCTCGGATTTTACAGTTTCAAACAACTAAAGATGAATCCTGGTGATTGGATTTTGAATCCATAGGCAAATTGTAGTGTCCAGGTCAGGCGCTGGATGCAGCCGGGGCAATTGCAAGATACAACGGTGGAGTAATTTTCCAGTCGCCAATTTATCAGTCCAACAATGAAGCAGTAGATGTAGCACAAGATCCAGAAGTGCTCACTCGAAGCAAACGGAAAGAAAAAGCTAAATTGAATAAAATTACAGTGAAGTATAGTATCGATGTTATTTTTGGCTGTTAACTGAATTTGACAGATTTAACAGCTTCGACATTTTTAGTGCGGACGCAGCAGGGGGGACAAAAATTTGTCTTTTGACTTTGTGGGGACAATTCTAGTTTTGTCTGCTAGTGCAGACAGGCCCTAAGAAACAAAAAGCGCTCACAAAATTAATGGTTTTCTTTATTTCTGAAGACGTGTAGTGCATATGCGACACGGAGAAAGCTATCATTGCGATGACCAAATAACTTGGAAAGACAATGAACGCCGTCCATCTAAACGAGAAAAGAAAAGACTATCATAGCCCCAATCATTGCTTGCCACAAAAGAAAACGATATGTCAATTTCACAGTTCATTAAATGTGATGAGTGTTCTTACCGCAAAATCTTGAAAGTTTAGTTCGATGCGATTTCCTTGTGACGCTTGCACCAGCCAGTAATAGTCCATGTTTGGTTTGCACTGATTTTATCTTGGCTTCCCGTATGATGGTAAAAATATCCAAGAAAAATATGAAAATGAAAGGGAACAGAAGTCCATTTTAGAATGCGGGACAAAGAAATCTTTGTTTATTAGATTTATTTATTCAGCTTACCGGTATCTCTGTAATTTTTTATTAAAAACAAAATATAATTTGTTTATAGAAAGGACCACCTGTTTCGAAGATCGTTAATTACATGAAAAGAGACCTCCCTCAGTATTTGTAAAGCAGGCGAATTATAAATAAAATTTTGTTTCGCTCTCAGCTTCAGGTGAAATAAGTACTAATTACTTTTGATGTTATAAAGAATGTCTTAAATATGATAAATATCCAGACCAATCAACTTTAGTCATTTGATGTTAGAGATAAAGATAGCCATCTTTATCTCTAGTATCAATCTGTTAGTGATAATTATAGGGAATAGGCTAAATTCTCTTCCATTCAATTCAGAATTCATTGACTGATTGGAAACCTTCAGATTTCAGATCAATTTTACCTCATCAAAACTCAGTCGGGAACATTGACCAAATACAAGATTTAAAGCTTGTTGGTTATGTGATTAAATTTCGTGGCCTGAACTAAGTGTTTTCTGATTAGCTAATTGGCTGGACAAGACAGGGCAATATATATGCGTTATTTACTAGGCGAGAAGTCAAGACGGCTTGATTTTAACTGAGTTCTTTTCCTGCGTTGCTATGGGCCGAGAAGAAGTCAAGGTCCCTGGAACCGGTAACAGGGACTTACCACCTTAAGTCTCGGCTTTAAGGTTACGGTGCGGTCAATTAGGTCTGGACACCGTTTTAAAATTTGGTTTTTTGCCCCTAAGTTATGAAAAATATTTAACCTTTATTTGCTAAAAAGTATGTACAAAATCTTATAAAGAAAGCAAGACACATCACTGGAAACATAGGATCGGTGGGAACGTAAGATAACTGAAAACATAGGATCAGTGGGAGAACCGGATTGTTAATGTAGTGTCATAGCATAAGAAACGGAATTGGATTAAGGCCAGCAAAGGCTTTCTAACAGTCTCTCAAAGCCATAAGAGTACAATTTCACCAAAGTACCGATTAAGGTTGACTGAACACCGATTATGAGGCCCACAATCCGACTTCTTAATACACCGGAATTCGGGTAAAACTGCACCGAGCTACACCCACCACACCAAACCATATCAATCTACATTTAGTACACCAACCTACACCAAACTGCACCCACTACACCTAATTACATTAAACTACACACACTACACCTATCTACACCAACTGCTTTTTCTATTGAATAAAAAATGGGGGTAGGTTTTTTACTTAAATAATGTAGATCATTCGTCAGGTAATCATGAATCAAAAACCGGAAAAAAAACTTTTGAAGATTGAGAAAAGATTATTAAAACACTTCCTCTTGACAAAACGCCAGGAAATGATGGTTTGCCCATTGAATTTTATAATATCTTCTGGTCATCGATTAAAGAACTCTTGGTTAAATGTTTTAATGAGGCCTTCGAAAGGAATGAAAAGTCGAATTGGCGGCAAAAAAGTACGAGATTGAAATAATGAAACCACAAGCACGAGATGCTAACGGAACAATGAGACTAAA